CCCCACGTCGCCAACATTTCCGGGAAAAAAATTTGAGATGCCCTTTTTTTTCCGAAAAATGCCCCTCAAAGCCTGCCCCCCCCCAACTTTTAGAAGCTTCCTACGCCCCTGATCAACACGGAAAATGTTTTATATTTGTTAAATAGTGCTTCGGCAATCTGCAGCGTGGCATGTCCGCCAAAGAGTAGTTAAAATGTATTACTGATTACAAAACAAGACCATCTACTCAGCTGCATGGTAAAATGACTACAGTGTGGCAATTTTTAAATTCAGGGCCCCCATTTTTTCCCAAATAATTTTTTTTTTTTAATTACGCCTAGCCTTTTGTGACCCTTAAGCCCGTTTTATACGTCGAATTCTCGTCCTGTCGAATGCAATTAAAACAATAGATAATGACATGATAAATCTCATTAAGCCTCATTATCTATTGTCTTGATTGCATTCGACGCGACCAAAATTCGACGTATAAAACGGGCCTTATTTGCAAATTTAACTGTGGGTCCGCGGCAAATTTCCCCCTTTGCCCCCAGTGACATTTCGTTCCAATATTTGTAGGATTTTACATTCAGATTAAAGGTTTGGCGGAGGAATTTCTAGCAGATGGTTTATTTTGTGTCTGGTTAGCACAAAAACCTGTTGTTATTATTTTCAAACCCGAATATGTCGAGGTATGGTGCATAGTAAAAATACTAATATTTATAATAATTATGGCATTGTAAGGGTTGGTATTAGCCTGCGTGGCAGACGATCAGCCCGCCGAGGAACACCTAAAATGGGGAGGGGGCGAGAAGAAGGAAGCAAAAAAAATAAAAATCTAAGGAAATTCGAGCAACTGCAAAATTAAGATGTATCCAAGCAAATTTGTCAAAACGTCTGTTAAATTGATGATGTTATTTAGTACAATTTATATAAACATTGGGCAAACTTAAAAGATTACTGATATCTTCTGGAAACGATCGGCCCCGTACGCTAATCCTTATTAGTACAGTATATATTATATATTAAAGATCATATTTTTACAAATCAAATATTTGCTCTACCATATGACAAAAAAAATTAGCGAGTAGTATTTAGACCTTTAGAATCACCATTGGAAATTGCGAAAGTATTGCCAAATTTAATTGCATGCACGTCACTGTTTGTGCTAATTATTTTGCGAACATGCCTAGTTAGTAAGTATTACTTTCTTCAAATGTTATCGGTATAATTTCTCCGGTCAAAGAAATCAACCAACTTGTTGATCAGGCCCCTTCATTCTGAATACCCATCTCTTTATTGTCAATAGTTAGTAAAGTGATGGAACGCTGCGTCTGCAACAGGTGCTATGTCCACGTGTCACGTCTAATCACCGAACTTCAGCACGGTTTCATGCGTAATCGTTCTTGTGTGACACAACTCCTGCCTGTTCTCCACTCTATTGGTAAATCACTCGACCGGAACACTCAAACTGATATGCTTTATTTTGATTTCGCTAAGGCGTTTGATTCTGTGCATGTAGACCACGCCATTCTTATCCAGAAACTTAAATGGTATGGCGTAACGGGTCAACTCCTTAACTGGTTTAAGGACTATCTCAACCATAGATATCAGAGAGTTGTGATAGACGGTGTTGCCTCTCAGTACCTACCAGTCACCTCTGGTGTGCCCCAAGGAAGCCTTGTTGGACCTCTGCTGTTTGTCATCTTTATTAATGACTTACCCGACTCTATCCAGGAACAGACGAGTTCAGCTCTCTATGCAGATGACACAAAATTATACCGCTCTATTTCGTCCCAAAGTGACTGTGAGAACCTGCAACGTGACATATCGAACCTAAATACTTGGAGTCATAACTCCAATATGAAGTTAAATGCCTCCAAGTGTAAGGTATTAACGGTCACTCGGAAGAAATCGCCTGTACTTACGAACTACCACCTGGACAACGCCATTTTACAACGCGTTCAACAGGAAAACGACCTTTGGCTAGGAGTTATCGTCAATAGCAAGCTATCTTGGGACACTCACATCTGCTCAATCATCAGCAAAGCTAACAGGATGCTCGGTCTCCTGAAAAGAACATGTCCTCTCATCACATGTACAGACATCAAAGTTAGACGAACACTTTATCTAGCTTTGGTAAAGTCGCAGCTGTGCTACGCAACTGAGGTTTGGTCACCTTCAAACGCAAAGTTGCAGATTCTCTTAGAACGAGTACAGAGACGGGCAACTCGATGGATTCTAAGAACTAAAGTTGGTGAGCTGTCATATGAAGACAGGCTGAAATCTCTAAACATATTGCCACTAACTTGTGATCGATAAATCAGAGATCTTGTGTTGGTTTATAAATGTATTTTTGGTCATACCGATTTAAACATTAATCAACTTTTAACCTTCGTAGAGCACAATCGATCTCGCGCACAAAATCCAACCCTAATGCTAAAACAATCCTGCTGTAAAACATCCACCTTTCAGGCATCGTTTTTTAATAGAATAGTAAAGCCTTGGAACTATATATGTAAAATAGCCTCTCCAGAAAAGTTTGCCAGTCTAAATATTTTTAAAAGCTTTTTGCACAAGACATACACCGCCTTGGTGAACTGTACTTTTAATGTAGATATGACATGTATTTGGTCGCTCATAAGAGACTACTGCCCTTGTCACCGTACTTAAGTCCTAAGTTATATATGTATATATTCTGTATAGTCAATAAGTTTGTTTTCACTAGTTTAGTTTAGGGGTGGCGCCCTGCATGGGTCTCGTTGTCCCGTTTGCGCTAGCTCCATTGGACGTATGTAATTTTCTTTGTTTGTATAATAATATATAACCTTTTGTATGTATGTCCAAAAAAAAAAAAAATGTCGCTGATCTATGACTGTCACACGTTCTATTTAGTTTATCAATTAATTCCAGAAGTACTCGTTATGTTTATGTCAATGCTATTTGTCCTAAATAGGGGGGAGGGGGTGAATAGGGGTATACGAATCCACCGTTTCGCCCAAATTTGAAGCAAAATCCGCGATCCGACAATAGTCTTTATAATATTGTGACGAACAGGTCACATGATCTAGTCAAGGGACAGTGAACACATGTACTGTTGTATCGAGCAAGGAAAGCGAGGACGGATCTAGGACATTCACATTAATCATTTAAATATATTATTTTATTACAAACTGACTTCATTATATTTGGCGACGAGGATTATTTTCAAGAAATATGGCAACGAAACTTACGCATTTAGCACCACCGCCTGCTTTTGATGCCGAAAGTGACAAGTCGTCCTTAGCTCAACGATGGAAAGACTGGCGTGAAAGATTTGACATGTACTTGCTTGCAGCAAATATAACGGATGCCAGACAAAAGCGTGCTCTCCTACTCTACGTTGCTGGTCCCGCAGTTCATAAGATTTTCAACACGTTAACCGATACTGGCACAGATTATAAAACAGCTGTGGAGAAACTCGACAGTTATTTTCAACCGCAGAAAAATGTAATTTACCAAAGATATGTATTCAAACAGACCCGTCCTAGCCCTGACGAATCGGTTGATCATTTCATTACACGTCTTCGACAGAATCGACTGAATCGACTTACAACCAATCGTTCTCGAATTGGCGACCAGAACGAGTCATTTCAACAAGAAAGCAAAACAGCGAATATATCCGGAAAATATACTGGTAACTGTTTTAACTGTGGTAGCAACTATTTTCCAGGTCACAAACAAGTTTGCCCAGCACAAGGAAAATCATGTCGTTCGTGTGGAAAGCTCAACCATTTTGCAAAGTTTGCCGCAGTTCCCCAATGCGAAAGCCAGAATTTCGTGCACAAAACAGGGAAAAATCGAATGAAATCGACAACTCTATTAAAGCAATCATAACAACGCCAAGAGAAACCGGAACCGAAAGTTCGGCGAATGACGACAGCGACGAATACACCTTCACCTTGACCCAAGGTCAATCCAAGTTCAGCCCAATGAAGGTAACCAAAACAAACAAGGGTGTTTTCGTGACGGCGAAAATAAACGAAACGGATATAAGGTTAGTTTTTGACTCTGGTGCAACAACAAATATTTTAGATTCTGCAAGTTTTGAACGTATTCAAAAGAACACTGCGAAATTCCAACTAGAACCTACGTCAATCAAAATATACCCATACAACTCTACAGTTCCTCGACCCACTACCGGCAAGTTTGAAGTTCAATTTTATAATGGTACAAAAACTACATCTGCAACATTTCATGTTGTTGAAGGAAATTCTGGGTCATTGTTGGGATATGAGACGCAACAGAACTGGGACTTTTGCATGTTAATGTCAACCAAACAACAACCATGCCTAGTTCTACATCAAGCAACACATCTGATCTGGTCGCAAAGTTTCAGCACCTATTTACTGGCATTGGTAAACTGAAAAATTAAAAACAAAAGCTACATCTTGACCCTAGTATACAACCAGTTGCCCAAAAACCTCGGCGAGTACCATTTCACTTACGTAAGCAAGTATCTGCCCGAATTGAAGAATTGGAAGCACTCGATATCATAGAACGTGCATCAGGTCCAACATCGTGGGTATCGCCTGTGGTCGCAGCACCTAAACCCCACGACCCATCTGAAGTTAGAGTATGTGGTGATTATCGACAACCCAACCGAGCCATAATTCGAGAACGGCACCCTATTCCCACCGTGGAAGAGCTCATGGAGGACATGACTGGTGCCTGTGTCTTTTCAGAATTAGATCTTCGCGCTGGCTACCATCAAATTGAATTGGAAGAAGAATCGAGATCTGTTAC